CTTCTGTTAAAAACATCTTGGAAAGCCATGCTAGCTATTTGATGTCTGGGAAGGAACTATCGAAGCTTGTAGCATTCGTCAAGGGAACTCAGTTTGATTTAGTGGTAGGGAAAGATTTTTGTAGTTCATTTTGAATGGTCAGGTTGTGTTACAATTATAATGTTTGCAGGAATATCTCCAAAGGGAGAGATATGGAAGTGCTCGTTTGAAGGATTTTGCATCAGGGCTTGAACTAATTGGGGAGAAGGTATTAGAACTATATATTCATCAATTTTGAACCCTCTTTTTTGGTATAAGAACTCTTAACTCCATTTTCATAGGTTTCGTATATTGCTTTTGTGACAGAAAACTTCCCCTTCTTGCTATCTTAACGAGAATATGAGGCTAATCTGAATAATTGGCTTATAAAGTAATAGGTTCCCAGTACTTCCATAAAGTGACAACTCGATAAGATTGCAATATTATGACATTTCATATTTTAGCTTTTTGGGTATAATTATGCAATTTATTCTTTAATATTTTGATCCCCTCATATCGGACCACCAGAACTTTTGAGTTAATGTTTGTATCTACATCTTTGAAGCCGTAAATATAGCTATATTTTGTGATATTGTTTTCAGCATTATGAAAATTTCCAATGTTAGGATAGTTTCAATGTTCTTGCTGTGGAGCTTATGTAATCTTTCTTGTCCAGCTTCAAATGGGAACACTTCAAAGCCGGTTGGATGCAGATTTCCTCTTGGCTCATATGTGCTCCGTTAAGTTTAAGGAATGGATCGTTGTTTTAGCCACTCTTCTTAGACGGTCTGAAGTATGCACCTTACTGTCGACTAACTTTTTGCGAAATTACCCATTGCATTCTTCATGTTTCATAATAGTTTTTTGGATTGTTGTTGAAAGAATAAGTTAGATCTTGTGAATAGTTTTTTGGATTGTTGTCGAAAGAACAAGTTAACTTTGTCTCAACTTATCAATATGGGTGACATTAATCAAATTTGGGTTTCTTGTGAATTTTTCACAGGTTCTATCTGATCTATTCAGGCATGATCTGCGATTGTGGGAAGCATATAAAAGCACCCTGCAGGTAAAGTTTGTGCTGAACTTCGTCTACTTCTCTCATTCTCTCAAAGAACCTAAAAGATGACTGTTGAATCATTTCTGATAGCGTTTCGTTTCATGTGTCCCAGTCGTCATTTGTAGAGTATCACGATCTGCTCGAAGACTTAAACGAGAAGCTTCTGTCAGCAGAAAAATTCGACGACGAATAGTGCAGATTAGCTTCCAACCATTTGTCCATCTTCATCTATCATCTGTCACCAAATGAAATGGTCATTCTTTACCATTTCCAATGGGATTATCTCATCAGTATTTGGTAACAGAATGCAGACAGATCGAAGTACATTTGATCGAGCAGGATCAACATGTTGACAGCAAGCACAACGAAGTAGTAATAATCAACCTCTTTCGACACAAGTGAAATAATAACGGTTAGAGTTTCATTAAAACAAGCATGTTTATTCTTAATAGCCTTGCAGGTTGGAGAGGTTTCGTATCGTATCTCTGCCAGCGGTACGACTTAGACGCGTTTTCTTTCTTGTCGTTATAATCTTAATTCAATGTTTGTGTATATGGCTTTCTACCCCTTTGTGAAGAGTTTTCTTTTTGGGGGTGATTGAGTATAATTAGGAAGAAATCTGTAAAGTTGCTGCAAAAGAATGAATAGTTGTAGAAAGCATTATTTCTTTACAATTATTTGTTCTTTTAATTACAATTTTTGGGACAACTTGTAATAATAGTGGTATGACCTTTCTAAGGCAATTTTGGAAATTTTAGAAAGCTTAATCAATATTTAATTAGTGCTTTTTTCAAGAGTGCTTATACAAAAAATCACGCTCTAAATATCTGAACAGATTTTATGATTAGTGGTGAAGATGAGAACTCATGTTATTATTGGATATTGGGGTTTATAAATTTCAGAAGAAAATAATTAATATTAGAATTTATTACTTAATTTGATCTCTTTAATTTCAGTTATATGAACATCTCGAGAAATAATTCCACAATCTTTGATGCCCACGAATGTAAATTCTAAAACTCAAATCCATTCCAGGAAATATTAAATTGAAACCTCATTTGAAATCCTCAATATTTATTGTCTAAATTGAACCTTAATTTGAAATCCCCTAAATTATATTGAACCGGGGTAACTTCCTCGAGTTTTGGCACGAAGGTGTTTTTCTTATTATTTATTATTTTTTCACGGTATTTAGTTACATCTTTAGAAGCATCGCAAGCACACGAATAAATGACTTGAACCCAAGACCTTAAAGATATCCCTTGGGGATGATCTCTTTAATTTTTATTATTATTATTATTATTATTATTTAATACAACATGTTGGGGAAGAGATTCGAACTCACAACTTTATGGTTGGAGGTATATGTCAATTATCGCTGAGCTATGCTCGCTTTGGCATCTCTTTAATTTTTATTTTAATTAGGTATTATGAATGTTAAATTTGGTGTGTGTGCATTCTGAAGGGAAGAAAAATAATTTTAATTAACTTTGTAAATTAATTAATTTATAAGAACTACCATTAAAAATTATGCAATAAAAAAAAAGAACTTTGCATAACAATTTATAAATCTCTCTCTCTTTTTTTTTTCACATTGCATTGGTAAAGATTGTATTCTCATAAATCAAATGTTGGGGGAAACTTTTGAAAACTAAAAACATAACAAAACAGAGTGGTTTGGATGTGTTTCTTGGAATTTTTTATTTTTCATTTTTTTGAGATAGTTTTTTATTTTTTGGAAGTTTTTGAAGACCATCATAGAGAGTTGTTTCTATAGGCTCATTATCTCTTCTAAAACATTGGCTCAAAAGAAAGTTCAATAAACTTCTAATTAAATTTTTTTTATAATAATTTTCTTCTTTAATAAAAAAAAAATTTCTTCTAATAAAAATTTATACAATTTCAATTAGTTGATGTGATTTAATCCTAAAATATTATAAAAATAGAATATTTAATTCTAATTTGTTGTTTTTAATTAATATCAATACATTTTTTAAAAATAGAATTCATTTTTATTAAATACGATAACAATAAAGTTTAATAATATTTTATTAAATTATGATTGTTTTAATAAAAAATTATTTTACTTGATGTAATTTTATTTTCATTATTTCGTTATTTACTTTCAAATATAATAACAATAAAGTTTAATAATATATATTTTTTAAATATGATTGTTTTTTTACTTCATCTAATTTTATTTTAATTATTTATTATTTATTAATATTAAATAAATTGTTCTAATAAAAAAGATATTTACTATCAATCAAATAGTAATAGAATAAAATAAATTCAAATTTATTATTATTTTAATTTAAAAATTAGCAAATGCATTTACAATTAACTAAAATAAAAAAGATATATACTAGTAATTGTTATACGTCTAATTTCTATTTCGATACTAGATACTTTTAGTAAACGGATTTCTAATTCCAATTCCAAAACATTTATATTAAACAATATCAAATGTATAACATTCTCATTTTGATTTCTTCCCCTCTTGATCAACAAAATTTTTCATAAATATTACAAATAAACAAAATTCCTAATAAATATTTCATTTTAGTTGAAATATCTTATAAACAAAAGTTTTTTCAAATGAAACAAAATTCAAAAGTTGTAAATATCAAATTTTCAGTGCAAATAAAAAAATAAAAATTTTACTTAATCTCTTGATCAAAGAACCTAACTGAAAAAAATCGAAGTTATTTAATCAGCTTGTCAATAATGGCAACCAATGGATCGAAGTTATGAGTTTCATTGCGTGTTAGTATCAACTTCATTGTAGAAGAAAATAGTAAAATAGTGTGGACGAGAAAGGAAACGAGTAACTAACGTCACAAGAAAAATCTAAACGATTAGGGATCATTTGATATGTTTAGCCTGAGTTCTCTGCAATTGCATTTAGTTTTGATCATAAACTAGACTTTGAAGATATCGAAAAATGAGGAGCCAACCTAATTCTTGTAATAATTAATCAATTTTGTGTTCTAACTAAAGCTAAAAAATGTTGAAGGGAAGCTTTTGAAGACTATTTTAGAAAGTTGCTTCTAAAGGTTCATTCAAGTTTCCCAAAAATTATAATATTATTAGGCAGTCCAAGCACAACTTAGTAAACAAAACACACGTTACTTTAAATTCAAATGTATATAACTTAGCTCTAGGCTCGATATGGAATGAACTTCTAATCACGAAATCAACTCAATCATCAGATTATAAATTACAACTTCTTTGTCAAAGATATGTACTAGTTACCGCTGAGTTAAACTTATATTAACAACTTTGGTCCTTATCTTAAAATTATGGCATTTGGTTCAATAATCTTGAAAAGGCTTTCAAAGCATTTTCAGATCAAATACTTAGGTCAAAAACATTTTACAAGTGCTTTCTCACAAAGTGGTTTAGACTTTTCCAAAAGAATATGTATGTTATTTTGAAGGATGATTTTGAGTGAGAAGTATTTTTATGCCAAAAACACCGTGCTTTGAATCAGAAATTGTCCACACAATACTTATTAAGTACATGAACGTTATCGAGGGGTACTTTTGACAAAATATCTACATAAAAGGAGTTTGAAAAAAAGATTGCATATAAAAGTAGTTGTTCCTCACTTAAAAAGAGTTTACAAATATTCAATGACATATCATTGAAACATACATAAATATACATAGATATGACAATTCCTTGAGACTTTTCTCAAGATATCATTACAATTTCAACCAGTAAAATCAGAGAGTCTATGATTTAAAAAGCCTAAAGAAACAAACATAACACTCTCAAAGAAATTCTATGTTACATTACTTTACTTGTGTATTTGTTTTCAAGTACAAACATTTCCACCAAATCCCATATTTAGACATTGAATTGTCCACTAGATAGAACATATTTTAACTAGTGATGGTCTATTCCCAAGCTAGGTAGCTCATCAGCTCTCCACCACTGGCACTTTCGACCACGGGAAAGACTCGTCCCTCCCGGTTACCTTCCTGATTACCCTCCGACGTAATATCACCGACGCGCTTACAAGCAAGCATAAAATCACTACATAAGGAACCAAATTAAGATTGCTTCCTTGACATCTCTCCAAAACCATCTGTGCAGATAGGTTACCATCAAAGCTACCCAAAGGGTTCTTCAACTTCATGATCTCAATTCCATTTAGCATACCATCTACACCATATGGAATGCTCTGATTAGAGTGCCCAATGCTAATTCTAAGAACTCCATCTACACCGCTATTGACCAGGAAATCGACATAGAATGGAGAAGAAAGTTCCCAATTTGTAGCAGTTGAGAGATCGAAATTCTCATACGCCATGAACCCATTAACGTAGATATTGAAAAACAACAGACCAATCGAGATGCTAGCAATATCACAGAAATGCAAGCGCACGATGTATCGATATCCATCGACAACTGGGAACGTCCATGTCATATTCATCTTTGGAACCAAAGAACTCCTACTTTGGATCACTCGGGCAGAGTTGTAAACATTATCCGGACCAACTTCACGACTCGCCCCACCAGCTTGATACTTGATTCTTCCGCTAGAATACACTTTTTTCGACCCCTCATTCGATTCAAAATGTTCATCATCAGGAACCCAAGTCCTCCAGAAAGAATCATTAAACGGGGTCACCTTAGGGCCCCCAACATTGACCCTGTACAGAACTTCAAGCCCTTCCTCCGCCAATCCACCAACATTTTCACTATGCTCAGAACTCAAGAATTTTGCAGTATCAGCAACAAGATCTTTAGGCGCAGAAATAACTTCAATCGCATTAATAAAGGCAAAATCCGATTTCTTAACAGGGACGAAGGTAATTTCAAGAGTTTCAGAACCAATCCAGATAAGGTACTCCTTAATTCTAGGGTTCACAGCATAGACCCCACTAAAATTACTAAGAATCACATACCCATTAACCAGGACGTGGAATTGAGCACGAATCAAATCCAAATTCGAAGAACTAAAAGTTTGGAAATGGAGGCGTACCATATGCGTCCCTCTGTCTCTGATCTGAAACTCGTACTTCGACGGCAGCTCGAAAACGCGAGCCGAGCTGTAAATCGGGGGCAAACCCTGGAAGGGGTGTTGATTTCTGAGCGAGGAAGAGCGAGGAGAGGACAAAAAGGGCGAGGAATCGGAGATGAAGACGCGATTGTCGACGGTGGATTTAAGGGTTGATCCACAGTCGAGGAGGTAGTGGTCGATCGGAGAGAATTGGGAGTAGGAAAAGACGGGAATCGTTGAGGAAAAAAGCATGAGAACAAAGAGAATTGGGTTCAGAAACTCCATTGGAAGAGATTTGAGAGAAAGAAGAAGAACAGGGAGTTGGTAATTATGGAATTTGTGAAGAGAAAACCGCGTGGAATCAGATGGAGAAATTTCTTTGTTGATACAGCTAAGAATTGAAGGACCAAGTCCACTCCAGTGCCACTGCTGAATAGAAGTTAAAAAGGGTATTTGTGCGCGTCGTCTTGTTCAATCAAGGACGATCTTCTGATCGATGGTTGGGTCAAAACTCCTCGTCTTACCACTTGGTAATGATCCATTTATGTTCACTTCAAAGCTCCTGGTCGAATTTGAACGGATGACTTATGCCTTACTATGACACCATTACTAAATAAATACACAACCTTCAAATTGTCTCTGCAGTTTCAATATCGTATCTAATAAGTCTTTGAAATTTAAAAAAATATCTTATAAGTTCTTCTGTATTCAAATTTGTGTGTAATAGATATCTGAATAAAAGGTGTTTTTGTCATATTCTATAGTTTTTAAACTTCTTTGACCTGTTGAATTTGGATCTTATAAAACCATGACCTTTCAATCTTGTGTTTGATAGGTTCGTAAAAAAATCCAAATAGTAAAATCGAAAATTCACAGCCTAGAGACTAATTTTTAAAGTTTATGGAAGTCACCTCTCAAAGTTTGAGGATTAAACTTCTTATTTAACTTAAAAGTTTATTTCAATTGTTAAATTGTAAATTTAGTCTTCAATTTAGTCACTATATTTTGGTTGAATCTCACAAATCACCGCAAACTATCTTTTACCCAACCTAAAAAACTACCTATTTTCTTCTATTTTTTTTAATTCAGACAGACCTAAACTCTTTTTTTTTTTAATATTCGTGAGTGTCCGAGCCAGTTTACACGCACCTCGACTAATTTCGTGAGGGAACCGCCTGACCCTACAACCTTTGGTATCGAAAAACACATAGGAATTACTAATTCCTAAGATAAGTGGCCATCGTGAGGTTCGAACTCATTCCCTCTTGAAGTTAAAAAGACCTAAATACAAAACCCAAAAATTTATGAATTTATATACTTTTTTAAAGTTCAAGAACCTATCAAACATAATCTCGAAAGTTCATGTTTTGTTAAAGTTTTAGAAACTAAGGGTGTGTTTTGAAATGATGGTAGAATTAGTGATTTTTCAAAACAAAGATTTAAGTAGAATTGATTTTTTAAAATCACCGTACAAATGATACCTTAAAAATCAATTTAAAGTGATTTTAAGTTTTTCTAAAATAATTTTTTAATTTACCAAACATGATCAATAGGAAAGGAAGTGATTTTGATAATGACAAAAGTGATTTTTACCGTGAGTCCCGAACACACCCTAAACAAAGGTTATTCTATCATCTTAGCGGACAAACTAACCCATAGTCATTAATCAAGAGAAGCTTTCAAGGAATGTCAAACTATTGATTCATTTATCTATTTTACATCCCAAATCAATGCAACAACATAAAAAAGAAGAAAATGAGAGAATGATGAACAGCTTCATCAGTCAAAAAGTATAAAATACAACACATACATGATATTCAAAAAGTGGGACCTGGGTTAAACTTCTCAGATTCTCTCCATACAAGTTCCTTGATGTTTTCTTCGGTATACGATGGTTGCTCGAAATCAAAACTGAAAGCCCTCGGACACACTGGCTCCTCATTGATATCATGAAGAGGTGCCAAGTACGGATGGCACAGCGCCTCGTCAACTGCAAATCATCGAGGTTCGATACAATCATCCAAACAAAGAGAAAAATGCAAAAGCTTCATTTTGTTAAGATACACTAGTTAAATTGTGACTATTATTAGTTCTGTCATCTAAATGTATATTCTCAAAAAAATCTGAGACATTAGAAACATTCTCAATCTAATAGAACAAATTCTAACCTATCAATCATCAAGATTAATTATATTCCTCAAGCAGAAGTAACTAAGTTTCATCTTGTTGTACTGTGTTTCAGGTTTAAAATTTCTAGAAATTCACAGAGAGCTAGGAGAGTTGGTTAGTACGTCTGAGTCGAGTTATACCTGTAATGCGCTTAGTAGGATCAAAGACTAGCATCTTCTCGAGCAAGTCGATGGCAGCAGGAGACATTGTGGGAAATCTAGTGGAAAACTGTTGCCTGGGGTAGTGGGGAAGATGTCTAAAATATCTCCGTGGATTGTCGCTTCGTAAGAATCCGAGGCTCGAGTCATCGGGTGACCCAATGAGCTTCACAAACCAGAAAGCAATGGAAAGTTAGAGTAATTCTCAAGGTCAACATCACACCCAAAAGGAAACAAAAAAAAAGGGAAAGAACCTACAGCAATTGAAAACAGGAAAAATAAAGGTACTAATCTCAAGAATATCAATTCATGTCAACGTAGGAAATTCAACTTAGCAGCCAGAGATTAAATTCAAGCAACTTGGTTGAGAAGTTACACCTTCCAAATCATGACTACTTGATGTCCGATCAATAGCTAAAGATCGTGGCATCAATAGTTAATAATAGGAAAAACCACCATTAAAAAAGAAACGTGGTCTTTAGTTTACTGTCATTTAATACCTGAGAGTCGGGAACAAGCAAAAAATAGGAAGCTAAGGCGGATTCTAGTAACTGGCGGGCGTACCTCAGTAATAAGTCTTAGCTGATCGACATAATCCCTTCCAGGAAACAGTGGTTTTCTGTGCATAATTTCACCAAGTATACATCCAACAGACCAGATATCTATTGCTCCAGTGTATTCTGAACAATTAAGAAGCAATTCTGGTGCACGGTACCAGCGAGTAACAACGTACTCGGTCATAAAATCAGTTTCGGAAGTTGTCCTTGCAAGCCCGAAGTCTCCAATTTTTAGATCACAATTTGCATTGAGGAACAAATTGCTAGGTTTCAGATCACGATGTAGAACATTAGCAGAATGTACGTACTTGAGCCCTCGCAACAACTGGTACAGAAAGTACTGCACATCGAAAGAAGTACTAATGAGATTCAAAGAAACATTAACAAATTTATACTTTTACATGTAGTCTAACATTAAAAAGAATCCCAATTAAGCCCAAGTACCCCACAGACAGAAACATTAACAAATTTATACTTTACATGTAGTCTAACATTAAAAATAATCCCAATTAAGCTCAAGTACCCCACAGATAATCCACAACTCGAGGAAAAAAACATGAAATCTAATACTCATTAATTCTTTATCTAGGTGTTTGATACCACCGATTGTCGATCGATGACATCAAGCAAATGCAAATCTTCTTTGGTCAAGAATTTACATGTCCCACCTATGGAAAGGGTGAATGTTATCATGATTCCTCTTACACAAAAATTATAAGGAAAAGGTGATGACTAAGAATTAAAAGATGCTGAAAAAATATTTTGACAGTCAACTCTTGATGAAAATATGTACAGTTGAATGGAATAGCAATTTCCTCCTGGTAAGATTTTTTGAATTAACAACGGTGCATATTTATGATTATTGTCATTGATAGTTTTGATCTCGTGACATGTGAGTTGAATACTATAACTTTTTAATGTGACAGTAGAACGTGAAAGAGGAAAGTGGAGTAATATAAACTGAGTGAATCTTTTTCAAACTAGCATCTTTAGTTATTCAAAGTCATTAATGTTATAAAGCCTTTAATAAAATGTTCATGGAACTGTATTTGCAAGAAGATGAGAGGTTCCAACCCGGCAATGATCATCGGTCAATGATTGGTTGGACCGTATTATCTGGTTTAGATCAGTATCCATCAATTCATAAACAAGGTACACATCATTGAAATTCTCCTTCTGAGGAGGTCTCATAATATCTTTGAGAGCAATGATCTGCAGTTGAGAATAAGGAAAAAGTTAGCCCACATGGTCACATACTTAGGAATATAATTCAAAACATTATCATTTGATATAGAAGAAGCAATATCGTTTTTTTAAAAATAATTCAGTATATAATTTATACAGTATAAACCACTTAAAAAAGAATAAAAATTTGTTGGTAGAATTTCTGGAATTATTAACTTGAAATGTGAATAAAAATGTCCAAAAATATTCCTCTAATACTTTCACTTTTGGTGTAGGAACTAATAATGATATATGGTTAGATTCACTGAAAATGCTGAATCTTTTCTATCAGGTTATCATGATCAACCAATAAATTCTCTCAAAATCACAGTGAGAACATGAAAGAAACTTTTCCAGTTATTTGTTAAATCCTTATCCAATAGGGACAAAACTAAAAGATATGAGTAAATAAATTTAAGATCAAGGAAAGAACACAAACAAGTTAGATCATTTAAATATAAGATCTGAAGTAACATAAATACCGATATTTACATTTTCGTGATCCATGTGTCGAAGAAGCTTGATTTCTCGCAAGGTTCTTTTAGCATCAATTCTATTGTCAAATGCATTGCCAACCTTCTTAATTGCAACCTCCTCATTTGTTTCTGAATTAAAAGCAGCACTGGAAGGGGACAAACATGTAATGTTTTGCTTTAATTGTTGATAAAACTCTTGTACCAATTTATAATTAAAAAAAAAAAAAAACAGGAAAAAATACAGAACAAAGAACAATGCTTGCTGCAATAAGATATTCACAGCAGTGTATGAAATTCACAGCTTGTATGCAATAAGAATCTTGAAAGTTCCAAATCAAAGAGATAAAAATGATTAATCAAGTTCGAAATGGAAGTCCCTAACTTACAGAGTAAAAGTTGTTCTATTGCTCTATTGCGGGCATAGGACAGTTCCTCTAATTTTCGATTTGTAAGTTTGATTCATTGTCAAACAATTTGCAGTTTCAAAGAGGATGGACCACATTAGTTTCCAAAATGATGATAGAGTAAAATTTGTTAAGAAAATATTAGATTAAATTTACCGTAACTTATTAGTTTGAGCTTGTAGGTATTTTCATAATTTAACTAGGAAGTCCATCCGGTCAAACTCCCATAATGTTATTTTCATTCCTCCCTAATTAATATTGATAGTCCACGTGTTGGGTGTTCCATTAGTTTTCGCATCCAAAAAATGAGGAATGATGTCTGAGTGTTAAAAGTAAATTAGAAAAAATTAATCAAAAAAATTTAATCAACCTTAATCTATCAATACAAACTTAAACTTTTGGGTGTATCTGTGATTTAAAAAAAGCCAACATAAGATGTTTATCTGAGCAAGAATATGTGATATAGCAAGAGCAGGAACCGGAACAATGTACATGCAAGTAGAAGATCAAATCTCATATCGATTACCTAAATGTGTCTAAAATTGTGGAAATCATTTTTACTAAGATAAAACCTAGTAAATTCCAAAAGACAGAAGATAAGATACTAGAATAATATAATTGTAAGGACTAGCCTATATCAAACGTTAAAGCGTAATAAGCTGGAAAGGAACAATAAGAAATGGCTTTTTTCTTATTTCAAATAACTGGATGCTAACTAGGATAATTAGAAAACTATAAATTCCCAATTACCATTTGCAGAAAGGAACCTTAAATGATAACTTTCGAGGAAGAAACAACGTTTATATTCGTTAGTTGAAACTTAAAATTACAACAGTTGCTTCACTGTTCATCAATTAATCTTGCTGTAGGATATATCTCGTTTAGATTGTCATATAAAGCCTTAAATTAGGATGCCCAAGTTCGTATAATATGAGATTGGATTGTACAAAAGAATAGGTTATATAAACTTGGGTTCATGTAACCAATAACAGGGTTGTGGGTTTATGATTTGTAAACATTAGTAGGTAGTACTGAAAGCGAGTTTCAAAAATCTAAGTTTATATAGGTTTATGTAGCTTCTGAAATCACCAAATTTGTAACTTGGGATAAGCAAACCTACGTACCAAATATAGGCTTAACCTCTCAATTATAGGTAACACAAATCTAACTAGTGAGCCAAACACCAGCGTATCTTGATATCGTTTTCCTTCTCCTTAGCTACTTTGTCAAAACATCTTCCTTTTAATGTATCTTCCTTTTGTTCAAATTATCTGGTGAGTAACTTTGTAATTCATCTGATCTTGATGAGAGAATTTCTCATCTCCATCCCTGAAGATTTCCTTGCTAAATAATTTTTTTCAACTCCCTGTTCTAAACAATTATTCTCTTTCTCCTCTCTCTCCCCAAAATTTCCATAGTACACAAAATCTCACACTCATCCAGATAGGTGCAACTTTCTATAGCCTCGCACACGTCCCTTACAGGAAAATTACAAACCAGAAAACCAGAAGCAAATCCCAGCTCAAAACAGTTTCAGAATCAGTGCATCCTACTAACATCAAGAACATATAAACCCAAAAGAATTAAGGAAATCAAAAGAAAAACTCAAACATCTCTATCAAGAATTTCTACTTAGAAGTAGGCTGGCAATTTTGAATCCGTAAGAAGCCAGCTCAAGTCTCAAGCAACATCCAATCCGGATGACAAGTCAAATTCATAATTTCAAATGAACTAACACATCTTTATAAAGAATCGAAAAGTTCCATGAAGAGCTATGAAATCCGAAGTTCTACACAATGAAGAACAAATAAGAACAAATAGGCAGAGAAGCTCAAACATACCAGACAATACCATAAGCCCCTCTACCAACTGGCCTTATGGGGGGAATATACTTTCTAGAAACTTCAAATAGATTCCCATAGACATTGTATTGAATATATCGGCCGCCATGGGTGGGCACTCCCCTGACGTTCTGATCGGTCTCCATTGACAACCTCCCGAGGTCCCAAAATTCAAGAACCCCAAACAGAAAATCCAAAAACGATAATTACCCAATTGAGATTGAGGCTAAAACTGAATTGGGATTTAGAGAGATGGCTAAATCTGAAGAGGGTGTGTTTCTAGTTGCTGTTGAAAGATAAATTACAGTTCCCAGAAATGTTTCAGCGATGTTCTTAGAGATTTGGAATGGGGAAGGAGACGACTGCGAGAAGAAGTTGAAGGGAATTCGCACTTTCTTGGGGACGACTTTGCGGAGACTGGAGCTGCCCCGGTGACTCTATAAAGCTTTCTGATTCGCACTCTCATGGACGACTTCGATCTTTCTTTTCCATTTTTTTTTTTTTTAGTTTGACTTTGAACAGAGTTGATTTTTACGTCTAAATCTAAAGTTTATAGGAAGAAAATTTGAACTTTTACACGTAAACTTGGTTGATAATCAGCATCAACTTTCACCCTCAATTTTTTATTTTGAAAAATTTCTTTAATTTTTCGAATCTTAATTTATATTGGAGTGAAATAATAGACAGACGAGATTCAAATGTTTTTACTAAAGAGTGAAGAGGTTCGAGTTCTCTTTAAAGCATAATGTTGAGAATGACTATTGAATTAAAAAGAATCAGTTCAACCATATATCACGAAATCTTAACCATCTACTCCATGTAATGAATGAGAGTCCACTTTGAAATCAAACCTATAATTTATAAAAAGAAGTATTTATACTTAACATTTTTTTTCTAACCAATAAATCTATGTTCAGTCAATAAAACAATTCAAACTTATAAGTTATAAAAAGAAGTATTAATTGGTAAAAGAAGTAAAAAAAGTAATTTTATTATATCATAGAAATATGCTTAAAAATAGAAAATAACACATGGACCAAATTCCAATACTAGTATATGATATTCCATACAGCTAAAAAAAAGGTGAATCGCACGTAATAAATAATTAATAATAATAATTAAGTGGTTGATTATTATTTATTAATATAAAGAGTGTTGTACTTTATATTTTCCTAATAATATACTGTCCACATGGGACATGAAAAGAGCCCGCAATAAAGGTAGAAAAAATAGAATATATTTTGTTGATGCAATTTTTGGGACACGGTTGGACTGGAAGTCTGGTTTAAAGAATCGAGCGAGTCGACCGTCGAGTATTTTGGAAAATGTCGGACCTTGACTGAGGGAAGTCGAGACCTATGGAGAAAGAGTGATGAGAAAAATAACACCGGTGTAGTATTTGCCTACCATGCTCCAATACTTAAGTCAGTTTATAAGTTGAGTGGAGAAAAAGGTAAGGAGACATGTTTAGTCGGATCAACTTACCTTGAAGTGTCATACACCAATAATTTATAGGATTTGTCTTCAGCTTCTTCAAGGATCGTTATAACGAGGATTGGACGTCCGTAATGCATACTCAAAAGTTGGGTTGTGAATGGATTTGGTTGCACGTGAGTGTTTGGTGGCACATGAATTTGGTTGGTGTTAGTGCTTGGTGTCAAAATCGCACTTTTCAAAGGACTTCCAAAGCAATTGTGTGACACTTGCTCCTGCCCACAAGCAAGTTAGCCAACGAGAATCGGATAGCCGACAACACCACGACTATATATCGCAACCTCCACCCCATTCTCGAGAAAATAGTTTTGAAAAACGGGGTTAGAGAAAAAGGCTGTTTTGGAAAACGTTTGAAGATATTTTGGAAAGTTTTGTTGCATACTTGAATGCAACAGAATAGATTAGCGGCAAGACAAGAATACAACTCGATGTAGGGAGGAGACTAGGTATACCCCTATAGTACATTTTAAAGCATTTTGTCTCTGGCAGACGTGAACATGCAAACCAAAAGTACAAATGAAAAGTAAATAAACATGCAAAAATAAGTACATGACATAAAAGTTGGAGGGAAGAGAGTGTTATAGGCATGCGGCCATGGGCGACATACTCTGGACGAGCATGACCATGACACTTGGCTGCATAGGTGTTTGGCCACGCATGGTTGTGCAGGACATATAGGTCGTGCAATGCGTGGGGCACGTGCTTGGCCGCACTATTCCTTTGATTTTCTATTGGTTGCTTTCTTTTGGTTCAGGAATAATGCTTATTTAGGTTTTTTTATGGGCCCAACATATTTACTATTTATTAATTTGAATTCACGATGAAATTCAACTTCTAAGAATATATGTCTCAACTAATTGAATTTCTCTTTTTTTTAGTTCAATAACATGGAAGGTGGAAGATGTGATTCCAAAATATATCTTTTAACTAACTATCTTCAAATTTGACGAATATAAATTACATCAACCTAAATAATAATGATTAAAAAAATACTAACGGTTCAAGATTATTGTTAATATTATTAAATTTTCAATCTAATTTTATTAAAGTAATGGAAAAAAAGTATTTGTAATTGGTTGACTTATTTTATAAAAGGACCAAATTGTCAAATAGAAAAGTTGGAATTGAACAAAAAGGAGTTTGAATTGTGGAAACTAAGGGAAACTTGGTTGGAAGATTCATATTTCTTTGAAATGGAATTGACTAATAAATTACTATTAAATTATTTACATATTCCACTTAGTCTAATTAAACTTTCACCACCAACTTCTTATCCTATTAAGTATTATTATTCCTTAGTTCATATTCATAGGTTTGATTCTAGATTTTTCTTTTCTTTCTTTTCCTTTTTTTTTTTCCATAGGGACAATTATTGACAACGTAGGATTATGTGATGTTCTTTTTTTCTATGATTTTGTTGGATTATTTTTTTTTCTTATTCCTATTCTCATCTCGTTCTTCAATTTGGAGAATCTAGAAAGCATTGCGATCAAAATCCCTATTCAAAGATTACACTGACAACTTCTTAGAAAAGATTGATAAGTATATACATAAAATAAAATTAAAACAATTAGTGTTGAGTTAGAGGAGATGCAGAAATGAGTTGGGTTAGTCTTCTTATTTCTTGATTATTGTGTTTTTATACTTGTCAAAATAAAATTATAGATTCTTTCTTTATATTAATGTTTAAATTTAAATACCGATCTAATTTAGAAAAGTTTTAGCTAATAAAGTTTATTTTTTGAAATGTATGTCTTATGGGTAAAATGTATCCGTCTGTCACCTTAAACCGTTTAGAATCTAACACATGAACCATGTGTTTTTGTAAAACTTAAGGGGTCGTTTGGTTTAAGGTTTCAAAAAATATGTCTAGGATTAAGATGCTGTAAGATGCCTAGGAAACAAAGATAACTGTGTTTGGTTTTATATATGTCCGAGATTAAGATGCTTGGGATTAAGATGTCTGAAAATGAATTATATATATGTTTATTTTGTGTGATTACTCTATAAATATACATTTTATGTCAGTGTAAACATTGATTAATAACAAATTAAATTTAAATAAAAACAAATAATATAAATTAAATTATTTTATACTAACATACTAAATTTTAAATTAACAATTTAGCTATACTGACAATTTAGCACAATAATCAATTGAATAATTAATATTAGATGTTATTTAACTAAAATTCAATATATACATATTTAACAAAATGATATATTTGTAGAAAGCTTTAAAATCAATCAAAATTAACTCCCAATAATTAATTTACATTAATTAATTATCTTTATCAAGTCAAAATAATAATTATTTTAAGTAATTATGTTTTAATTTAAGTTTCACTCTTTAATAAATATATTATAAATAATATATCTAAATTTATGTGGTTGATTTTATTTAGCAATCAATCTTAATAATTATCATTTTATGTGTTTAACAAAATAAATCATTTTCATATTGGATCAATTAATTACATTTTTTATATAAAAAAAGTATACACTTTAATAAATTAATTTATTACAATAGAATAATTAATTTAGTACATTATTGATAAAATTTTAATGTTGTTTTATTAATTATAAATTTAATAGAAATATTTTAACTAATTTTAATTAATTAATTTGAATAAAATAAAGTAAATAATTACATTAAAAAATTATTTAAAAGAAGAGAGGAGAATCAGGCACAAAATCCACGGACAAACCCATGAATTTGGGAGGGAAAAGAAAGCCCTTGTCCATGGAAATATGTGAATAACTTATTCTCAGAAAAAGATTTCAAATCTGTGTAACAAAGAAGGGTTTACTTGCCCATACCCATTCCCACCCAGTAAACTCCCAACCAAACGGTCTCTGAAGGCTAGGAAAGATAACTCGAAGAAAGACATCAAGTATTCGTATGGATTCTTGCTAACTCCTTCTCTCTTCAATGCTAAGATTTTTTTATTAAAATGTATTTTATTTTAATTTTGAACTCATCTTATTTTCAGATTTTTATTTTTTATTTTTTATTTTAGATATGTCTCATCTTCAAAGCTATAATGGAACTTATTTATTTATATTTAAATAATGCTTTTAAATTATACTATCCAAGCCTATAATTGTATTTGGCATCTCTTTCAATAAGAGAGAGTATATATATTATTTGGATAATAGATCACCTTATTCCTAATTTGCTTAAATTTCCTCTCCAAATTAAATTTCTTCCAACAGTCATTACAAAAATTTTGAGCAATGTCGAGAATCCACGAATTCCAGGCACCTTGAGTAGCAGTAGGAATGGGAAAGACGAAATTTGAACCAATGTAAGCATTTACATCGCCAAAAGTTCATACTACTAACGCAAACTTAAGGTGTCGGGATCGATGAAAATAAACTTCGCCAGCAGAAATCTGCAAACCTCGACGTTTTCAGGGTCTATCATGATGTTGTTTATGCATCGGTAGAAATGAATATTGTCGACGCTTTGTATGGCTTTTCCCGACGACGCTTTGTATGGCTTTTCCCAACGTTTTGTAGGTTTCTAGGTAAGTTTATAAAAGAAAAATCCTTACCCCTCGTCGCTGTTGTCTAGTCACCCACTATTGCTTGCTCACCTCATACTTCAAGTTCTTTTCCTCATTTACATTGGCTACCATTTACTATTAGTAGTTTCTGTGGGACTCAAAAGATAATTATCGAACAATATATGATCGTTTCTTAGTATAATATGTGGGGTGGGGTAGAACTCACAACTTCTTCATTTGAGATAATATGTCAATTACTACTGAGCTTTGATCGATAATATGTGATCCGATTGTGAAATACATAGCTAATAAAATAGATCTACAGATTTTTTCTGTAATTTGATAACATTATTGTTTTTCTTAATTTTTAATAAAGAAAAATGAATGAGATTGCGTGACCCAACATCTCCCTTTATGTTTTGAAATAAATGGAAAATGAGAATAAGAAAGAAACTTGTTTTTGGTTGTTTCCAGAATTTCTATATAATTAATTGCAAAATGCTTAGAAATCTTATAAATTGGAAACAAGAAACAGGAATGTTATGAAACGAGCCTTAAGTAACAATCATTCAATAATACAAAGTTACTCCATTAAAAATTATGGAGTTGCCCTCAAACCCACTAAAGATAACAATATGTCCATGATGAATCCAACAAGCATGAAAGCAAACTAGAGAATGAGCCATCTATGGATACCCAAATTGAGAGTGAGAGAAACCATTAAAAGTCCCTCTTTAGATTATGATTTCCATATCTAAACCCATAAAATGGGTTTCACAAGGAAAGTCAAAGTATTCCAAATGGCCACCAAAATGGAGAATAACATGCATAGGCTTTACGAGCATAAACAAGCATGTCAACAAAAGGCTTTTTTCTCGCATGTCAACAAAAGGCTTTTTTCTCGCTATCAATGATGGATCAAGCGTAAATATCATGAAGAAAAAACTTCCCTCCTCAAGATTTAGGAATTCCTGCATGGTCCAGTAACATATAGACAAATATTTTTTTTTTATTTTGTATAATTCCTACGTGGTCCACTTGTCTATATACTACTGGACCAAGCAAGAATTCAGCATTGTGGAGGGAAGTTTTGTCCATATCATAATTGGACACACTAGCTGTTATTGAACTTTTTGTCATCAAGAATGCCTTTTAAATTATAATCAAATTCATACATGTAGATGCGTGAAAAGTTAATACGCGAGATGAGTTAGAAAAGTATATCGAGATATTTGGAAGAAGCCATAGAAAAGGAAAAAACCGAACTACCGATTACATGTGTACGTGAAAATGGAACAGGTCCTCATATTTATATTGGCCACAGGTTGGGCCTATTTGGAGGTTATCTTCCACATTATCGAAAATTTATATGATGTATGCTACAAGAAAACGAACTTACACCTTTTGTCACGTGGAGGGTCGTCTTCTTTCAACCCCAAACAGTACACTTGGCCAAAAATGTATGTTTATATATAGACAATTACAAAGTACCTAGTGTGTGTTATAAAACAATATGGTTTAGTTTGAAGAATATTGTTCCCACGTCTTTCTAGGGCAATCAATAGAACTTTTACCTATCAACACAAACATGAACAAATACATATATGACAAACAAACTCATCAAATTTCTTTGAGTTGAAAAAGACTTGCAACTTCTGATCATTTAAGTTTCCACCGTTTGATACATCTATATTGAAGCCAATCCAATGAGATACGTGTTTAGAGTAGTGACAAGTAAGAATGGAACCGAGGAGAGTACGACTCGTTTTGTCCGTTTGGTAACGTTTATATTTCCTTATTTCTGTTTCCTCTTTTTAGTAAAGAAAAATAGAATAGCGTGACCTGACACCCATAGATTTAGGAATGATAAAAATAATAGTTTTGTTTATGTTTTGGAAAATTAGAGAGGGGAACAAGAAACAAGAAACATGTTTTATTGTTTTCAAAATTGCTATAAAATTATGAGAAAATGTTTCTAAAAAAATGAGATAAATGAAACATAACTAGTATAAAAGAAAAAAAAAAGAAGCTTTGGTTTCTTAATAAAGTTGGAAACAAAAAAGAATAAACGGGAATGTTACCAAATTGATGATTTACATAATATCAACCCAAAAGAGAAGTTTTGCTCCCATATATATAATAGTTTAAATACTATTTTGGTCCCTGCACTTTCAAGTTTCAAAACTGTCTATTTTTATTCGATTACTTTCAACTTTTGTTCATTTTAGTTTCTATATCATCTCATTTCTTTCGACCATAATTTTAGCATGTCACCTCACTCACTAAATTTCTTAAAATGTAACCATAAATTTGCATTAAAAAGTTTGTATAGGTTTGTGTTAAATTTTTGTAAATAGGAATCAAATTGATCGTTTTTAAAAATACAGAAACCAAAAACGTTTCGAAAGTACCAAGAACTAAAATGAACAAGTATATAGACTAAAATTATTTAAAGCCAAAAGTATAATGACCAAAATAGTATTTAAATCTTATCAAATTGTAAAAATACAAAATCCTACTAGGAAAGAGCAAATAAAAATAGTTACATATTTCTCGAACTTAATACAACTCACCAGATCAATACATCACTAACATCTCTAGGAAGTCGTAGGTTCAAATTTCACCGGAATGGTAATATATGACTTTGAATTGTGTTTTATTTTCTTTTGTTTATATGTATAATATGTTAAAGGAAGAGTCCAAACATTGGAATAAGTATTCCACACGCTTTCACAGCATTTTGTTCAACCACAACTTTCATAATTCATTTGTTTCATAATAAAATAGAAAATGACTTTTCAAAGAGGAAGAGGACTATGGAGAAGTCTTTCTATTTAATTGAAATTTAATGTTGGGCAAAGTTCACTATACAAATGGACAATAAGTTAATTGATTTAATGGAGAATCCAACTTCTAAGGATTCTTCTGGAAAAAACTTTCTCGGAACGCATTTTGAAAGTATAAAAAGAAGATATATAAATTATTGAAACGAGAGAGTTCTCTAAGACGCAAAATTAAGATATGTGGAGTGAATCAATTAATTAATGATATATCACCACCCGTGATAAATAGTTCTGTTTGACTTCTGTATATAAAAACTATCCATAAGTATTCATAATTATATCGACTATGTGAATCGTTCAGGTAAAAATTTGATTTCAAATATTGCAGGTGTATTGTTAGGACTTTGTTTTAAAATAAATCAATCTTTTGAGATGAAAGATGGTGAATGAAGTCGTTTATTAATGAAAAGCTTTCTTAGACATAATACAACTTCAAGTCCAAACATGTTCTAAGAGCTCCTATAACTTCCTTTCCGGATGAACTTAAAGCTTTTCGGTGAGCTTTTTTTGCATGTTTCTTAATATTATGTGATCGACTCTTGCGCTACAAGAATTTTTTTTTTTTATTTTAGCAATAGCATATTTCTCGACGCCACGTCGGCAAAACATAAGATCTGTTGATGCATTCGTCATGATGAAATGATAATTCGTCGGTAAAAGTTATAAATAATAATGAAAAAGATAGCATGGAAAAGAAATCATTCATGCCATATCCCACCACATGGGAGAAAAAATAATATTGACAATTTTTTGTCACAAGTTTTAGAAAGAAGTGGGATATATTTGAGCATTTTTTATTTTTATGAAAACTTTTACTGATTTGGTTTTGAAGCTTTGGCTACGTTTTCACTTCGTTGGCATAAGAGATTTTAACACCCGATATCACATCCAAATAAGAGGAATCCTCATATCATGGAAGAATGGTCAAAAGAGGCATAAAAGAATTGATAGTTACTACCTATACTAATAAGGTACACCTCCCTTTTTGGTAACTCAATTGTATAAGAACTCTAAACTTAAGCGTACTTGACTTGGCCAAATCTTCAGCTGGATGACCTCCTAGTTACTTTACTAGAAAACATGTGAGTGAAGACAAAGCATCCTGGGAAAAGTTTGTCGCCCTAAACAACCTCTTTCTTCTTTCTTCTTCCTCCCTATCACTTTCCTCATCTCGTTTACACCACACTCGCATCTTGCATCTCCTTCTCCCTCCTCTCCAGTGCCCGCCCTCTTTAATTGATTAGTCTACCTTATTCCTTGTTCGTTGAATATGAATTAGGTTATGGATTATGTTGAATATAGATTAGACTACGGATTATATTTATGCAATTTTTTACCTTAGGGATGATGAAATGTGAGTCATTAGTGAATCATTTCATTACCTCTATCTTAATTAGGGCAAACGATGTTTCTCTAGTAACTGTTCACTTTGTTGTGTGGCTAGAATCACCAGCTTCTCCAACCACCAATCCTTCATTTTAGGCTTGTTATTTATTGTGGATTACAAGGTGCACAAAACATCAACCTATTCCACTCTCTAGCCAATGAATTATGGAATCTGGTCCGCCAGTTTTACATTTCGACTTGAACAATTGATGTCTTATCTGCTTGAATTTGCTAACGTTGTTTTATATTTGCAAATATCTGACCAGCCAGTTTTAGATTTCGACTTGAACAATTGATGTCTTATCTGCTTGAATTTGCTAACGTAGTTTTATATTTGCAAATATCTGACCAGCTTGTATCCCATATTTGCAAATATCTGACCAGCTTGTATCCCACCCGACTAACAAAAATTCCGCTAATGATATCAACTATTAGTAAGATTTACTCAAATTAAAACAAACCGTGGAATGGAATACCAGTTCCTTGCGTTTCTCCACTTGCCATTCTCCAGGTCCACGGTCTATACTTATTCTTCTGTTTACATTTGACATATTCAGTTGAATGTTCTACACTACTTTTCTTTCTTTTTTTCTATTTCCTACCCTAAAACATTAAAGAATGTATAGAGAATCATGGACGCAATTCAATTCTACGATCACAAAACTTGGAGAAACAGAATAAACAGAAAGCCCATTTTCACATTCCCATTTCAGAGTTTCAACCTTACATCTTACACACCCATTAATTAGTAATAATACTCAAAACCATTAGCATAAAACTAAAGACTACACTACACTATCCTACACTACTATGGTTAGTATACATATTTTAGTTGAAACACAAGAAGAGACACCAACCCATCCCTGTACACAGGTTTAAGTTTAGCTCCCACCATAATCCTCCTTGGATCTGCTCCATATGGTTCAACAGCCCCTTAAGTTTGACAACAAAGCATCGCGTCCTGCCAAAACAATCTGGAAAAAGCTGTCTACTTCCTTTGTCAGTAAATGCAGACCTTCTGAAAGTTTCTCTGCCTTTGCTCCCAACTCTGATATGGTGTTCTTCAGCGGTTTGACTTCTGCAGCTTCTGGGTTCTCTGGGATCAGTTGATGGAGATGTCCTACACATTGGTCAATAGCTTCGAGCTCCTTCAGAGGGGTAAATTTTCCATTAGTGTATATACTTCTAATTTCACTATTTACATTTGTTTGCAAGTAGGAGAAAGTCTGTCCCCATGAATAGGTATCAGCGATGTTCAGATCAAAGAGTTTTGGGGAACCCAAGAAGGCTGAAGCAAAGACACTGCACACAAAAACAGTCTGTACCTTCACCCCGTACAAAGCACGCATCAGAACCTTACCTTTGGCTGAGTTCTTGACTTTTGGAAGATCAAGTGATTCTATCAGGCTGTCTAAGATGACACAACAATTCTTAATTCTAGAATTTGTCGTGCTGATGTTCTGTCTCCATTCATCTAAGGAAGTACGGGCTCGCATGAGTCGCTTCGACTCAGCGGAATCCAAGTTATGCGTGATGCATCGGAGCATGAGGTTGCATTGGTTCAAGTGTGAAAGCTCTGAGCTAACAGCATTACAGACATCAAGCAATTTCACACTGATGTCCAAATAGACATCTATCCACTTCTCATTCCAATCAGGCACAGGGAGATCTAACTCTTTGATAAGAGTTTTGACATCGCTGTGAGTTTCACAAAGCAACTCCATTGCTAATTTCATCCATGAAAGACTAAGGATGTCATCCTTACCATCTGGATGGAGCTTTCTTAGTCTTTCTGCCAGGCTTCTCTCAAAAGCATTCAATATTGCAACAAGTTTTGAGGGCAAATTTAAACCTTTGGGAGATATCATACGGAAGGGATTCCCAAAGGGGAACAACGGCCTGTGTGGTTCCTGTGGGCGGCTCATTTTTTGTAAACTAAGGTATTTACGAGCTCCTGATCCGTAATAACTGCAGAAAATAGCAGACCACAGAATAAGACACAATCAATGGCCTTAAAGAGGTAGAATGCTTAATTTGCATCTGTAAACTTCAATTCTCATCTAGAATCAACTGCAGGAAATCTCCAAAGCCAATTTCCTTGTAAATATATATACAAATTTGAGAAATGATATTGTATTCTAAGCATAAAAGTCTGAACCTTCTCGCATGGTCTCAGATTTCAGATTTTACAGCAATAAAGGGACTATGGAGCTAGAGAAGTAAAAGTCTAAAATCAATTCTCTTCATGATTTTCAGAGCATAAAAATAACAAAAGATAGAGAACATAATTAAACAAATCCTCATCACACCATAATTCCTGACTATGATAAGAAACTGGGTAAGGCGGTGGTTGAGATAGCCCTCTAAGAAATCATTAATCTCATTATGCAGCTTAAGTTTCACATGAAAAATCAGAGGAAACAAATAGACAATCTTCTTATCTGTAACCTTTACAAAACATACCTCTTAAACATAGATCTACAACTCTTATTTCATAACCAACAAAAAATATAAGAAAACAGCAAAAGAAAAAAACAATTATAAAAATAAGTAGTTTATCTTGACTTTGCCTTATGTAGTCATGTTGTGCAGATCCAATCCACTATGATCAAATTGTGGTGTTAAACATAATCAAGAATAGTAACCGGACTGGTCAGATCTCCATTTTTATGCAAACGTAATATAAAAATAGTCAAATCTCCCAACCAGCTTCCTGGGTCAACCTCTAGATCCATCACAACACTCTCCGCAAGAGAGAAAAAAACTTTCAAGAAGCGATTCGCTTCCATAATCACCCAAAAACAACCTAAAGTATCAAACCACAAGAAAAATGATGGCGATCTTAGAGGTTGACCCAGAAACCAAGCAGATTTATCAAATTCCATAGAAACAAACCAAAGAGCAAGAAGAAATGAAAAACTTCCTCACCTACGAGTTAGATCTACGAATTGTTAGCAGCTACAGATAGAACAGCACCGGAATCCTCAAACGGCGCGAAATCGAACAAGAAAAGAAACGAAAATCGAAACAACGAAAGCGAAGAAAAGATCTAAATCGTCGAATCAAAAGAAAATTAGTCGGCAGAAACGAAAATATACCGAGTGGGCGGACGAAGAGGGCTGGAAATTTCTTGGAAAATTTGAGCGTTGAAAATTCAGTGTGTGGTAGATAGATGGGATTATTTGGAGATGAGGGTGGGGAGATCTTGATAGGGTCACTGGCGGGTGAGGCAATGATGGTGGGTGGTGTCCACGTGGGGGTGTTTGATTGGGTTTGGGAGTGGAGGGAGGGTTTCTTATTGGTGAGTGAGAGGGGAGGGTATTTTGGGAAAGTTGAAACGTGGGGGCTGTGACAATACAGTGTGAAAAGGGACGGAATATGCTAAGAAGAAAAACAGACACGGCAATTTGGTATTATTTTTTATTTTTTATTTTTTTTAATCAAGCAATTTGGTATTATTAATTTTCTATTTCTTTGACAAATTGCATTTGCCAAACTTTTCCAAACGCCAATTTTGGGGCTTCTTTTTAGAAATATAATTAATAGGGGATATATAACTCTCTTTTTTGTTTAGTACGGATATTAATTCACGACCTTCTAGTTAGATATGAGTATCTTAATTGATAGTGACAACTCGAGATGTTATGAAATCTTAGACAAAATTTTGATAGAAATGACTTAATATATAGAATATATCATTTAAATTTTTAATTTTCTACTATGTTCTTATTGCGCTAAGTATGAAAAAAGGTAGGGCAAATTACACTCTTTAATTTGTTTTCAATTGAAAAAATTATATTAAAAATTAGGATTACAAATTTTTTTCTAATTTGTTTCCCCTGAATTTTTAAAATTAAAATGTTATTTATATACATATATATAGAAGTTAGAAGGTAAATTTTATCCCTCTTTGGGATTTTTTTTTCTCGGGACAAAACAATTAGAAAAAAAAATTTAAAAACTATTTTGGTCATATACTTTCGATTTTGATTCATTTTGGTTCATGTTTTTTCAATTTTTGTTCATTTTGGTCTCTATACTTTGGTAACATCAATTTTGTTCCTTGTATTTTAAAAATATTATCATTTTAGTTCCTTCATTTTCACTTTTATCTAATTTCTTTTCATCATGATTTTAGTATTACACTCCACTCGTTAAATTTCTTGAAATGTAACCATAGCTTCGTATTAAAGAGTTTCTATTATGTATAAAACTTTTGTTAAAATTTTGTAAATAAAAAATTAAATTAATTCATTATTAAAGGTAAAGGGACCAAAATGAACATTTTGAAAGTACACCAACTAACAAGTTGAAAATATATGGACAAAAATAAACCGAAGTCAAACATAAAGGACGAAAATAAGGTTATTTGGGGCTAGAATGGTAATTTGACTATTTTTTTTTTCTAATTGTATTAAAAAATTAAGAATGGTCGTATTTAATGGGCAGGCGATTTTCTCCGTTTTTATTCAATGGTGGGTTCTCTCAGCTGTCACCCCCTCCTTTGAAAATGGCCACTTGCCTAACTTTTCCAAAATGGCCACTCTTTTTCTATGCTAAAATTCTATGAACTTATCAACGAGGGCATGAATGATAATATTCTTTACTAGGTGGATCATTTAGCAAAATTAACATGTGGGCTTCTAGATGGTAAAAATCTATTGTCGTGTTTATTTAGTGAGTCGTTAAGTAAATTAGATGGAACCCACCTCTGAACAACGCTGAGAAATTGAATAATGGTGCGGCTTGAAAAGATGAACTATGTGTCGGTGGGCTAGACTGGGTCATTAGAGATGAGAATGGAGATTTAATCAAAGTTGGATGCACATACTTAAGGGACATGAGAGACGTAGATTACCTGGAAATGTTAGCAATTTGTGAGGGATTGAGAACAGTTTCGCTAAGAAATCGACATGCCCTTTACTTGGAATCAGACTCTTTAATGACGATGCGATTTCTTCAGCAGCAGCAAGAAGACTTGAATTGAAATATTTTGGATCAGAGAAGATACAGTAAAGAGAGTAGAGGAAATTGAAGTGGTCTCCATGACTCACATTAGCAAAGAAGGAAATCTGGTGGCGCATGCCCTAACAAAACGTGCGATGGAAAATGGTCGTATGGGGAAGTGGTGTTCAAATGCCCCAAAATAGCTCGACTCTTTAATTCAAGTTGATAGAATGTTGCTTTAATGTTTTGTTTTATATTTTATAAAAAAAAGGTAAAAAATAAGGATTAAATACTTCAATGCTCGAGTTAGAACTGAACTTATAAGTGAAAAATATATATTCATTTAAGTTTGTAAGTATACTTTAGAGGAGGGGTGCAAATAGATAAATGCCAGCTTTGAGCACACACCAAAATTTAAAACCAACCCGTTGACCTTTGTTGTAAAAATCAAGCTGATTGATCGAACATTTTAGTTTGGTTGGTTAATTTACACGAGTGAGCGATAGTGTGGTTTGTTGAGGTTTAAGGCAAGGGGAGATTGGTGAGCTATGATAGTTGATCTGAAGGTTGAAGATTAAACATGGACGCTTTTTTTTCCTTTCCTTTTTTGAATACAACATGTAGGATGAGAATTCGAACTCATGACCTTTTAGTCGGAGATAGATGTTTTATCTACTTAAACTAGGTTTAGGTTACACGATTACTCATTTTAAACGTGGGTTAAGTTTTAAAAGAATTCATTGATGCAAAAATTCCAACCATCATACAAAATTTCAAGGCAACAAGGCATCTTGAAATTCAAATGGTTACATGCGGAAGAAACCTAAACTTTTGGGCATTAAATGAGGATGGAATGAGTCCTTCCACACTATTGAAAGCTTCATACTCCACCCAAACACCTAATCTTCTTACCTCCTCGTGGAATTTATTTATATTCATACTTCACTTATCATGTTCTACAAAATAAAAATAAATAATAATATAATAACATTTTTGTGTTCAAACAATATCTAGGTAGAAATTCTAAGTCTAGGACATTGAGGACAATTGAATCATCAATAAAACAATGTTAATTTAGGAAAAAATTAGCAACATAAATTTCCTTGAAAATGTGCTTTTATTCAACTTTGTTAAGGTTTAAATATTGTTTTTGTCTCGTCTCTGTAATGACAACTTTAATTCATTTTATTTCTTATAATTTCAAATCGTCCAATTTCATCTCCTATATTTTTTTAAAAATGACTATTATCACGACATTTTACTCATTAGATTTTTTAAAATATAATCATAAATTTGTATTAAATGATCTTTATTTTGTATAAAATTTATGTTAACATTTGCAAATAAAGACCATTTTTTTTTAACAAAAATAAAGATCAAATAAACTGGTCATTCTTTAATAGTTGAACTATACTTAGATTGACAAAATAAAATATGTTAATTTAGGAAAAAATTAGTAATATAAATTTTCTTATAAAGGTGCTTTTATTCCATTTTTCAAGGTTTAAATACTATTTTTATCCTTTATGACTTTGGTTCATTTTAGTTCTTATATTTTCAAAATATGCATTTTGGTTTCTATACATTCAACTTTAATTCATTTTAATCCCTATACTTTCAAAACGTCCAATTTCATCCCTATATTTTTTAAGAACGACAATTTCAATCCATTCATTTTTCATTTTTATCTCATTTTTTTCTAATCACAATTTTAACATGACACTTTACACATTAGATTTCTTAAAATATAATCATAAATTTGTATTAAATAATTTTCATTGTATATAAAATTTGTATTCAAATTTTCCAAATAAAGACCAATTTTTTTTTTCTTTTTTTGAAACAAAATAAAGACCAAATTGGTCATTCTTTAATAGTCCAAAAACCAAATCAAACGTTTTGAAAGTAGAATGACTAAAATGAACAAATGTTGAAACTACATGAACCAAAATAGACGTCTTAAAAATACATGACTAAAATGAACTAAAACCAAAAGTAAAATACGACCTTTAAACTTTTTGTTAATTTTCAAGCAAAAGAGACAAATGGAGCCAAGAATGTCAACTTCTTTGCAGAAAGAAAAAAGTGGTTTCCCCTAAAGTTCTTGCTTCCAAAACTCCATTTCTTTAGTCTATAGAACAGAATTCTTACAACTTCATCTTTAGATGTTACAAGTTACAATAAGCCCATCTCAATCAACTCATCCCACTCATAGCCACCCATTAACCAGCTGTGCAATAATATCATTCCCCTATCTGTACAAATCTCTCTCGTTACAAATAATTTCCTTACATTACGCCCATAAAATATGTTTCGACTAAATATATGTTTTAGTCCCTAATGTTTGAATGTTTTTTTCAAATTAGTCCCTAGCGTTTAAAAATAATTTCAACATACGTTATGTTTTAACATTCTTAGTCGTACAATTTTCTATTGATGAATATTAAAATTAGTTGAGGATATAAGCTTCCATGACATGATACTTAGGACCAACTTTTCATAAATCTAAAGGAAGAATTAGAAACTTTCCTCTATCAACCTAATTCTTCTTCTAAATATCGTGTGATGTAAGCTTATCACTAACCAATAAAAAAGGCACGACTAAAAACGTTAAAACGCAAGGGACTAAGTTGAAACTTTTCAACCAAAAGGGGCTAAATTGGAAAAAAAAAAAAAAAAACCTAAACAACATTCAGCCAAATTTATATGAAATAACGAGAGTTGGAGAGCAGATTCAACCTGAGATTCCTGTTTCTTCCAAGCTGTGTTCTTATCAGCTAACTTCACCAACAGTTTCCTATGAAGCACCACCTGCTTTCTTAAACCACAACCACTCTCTGGTGGGCCTTAGAATTTGCTTCAGTAAAGCCATTTTGGGAACGTTCCAGTGCTCTACATGCCTGAATTTGTCCATAAAGAGTTGGACAGAAATGGAGCTTCAAGTGAAAAGAAGATTCAGAAAAAAAAAAAAAAAAATTGGTATTGTTACCTGCATACTTTTCCAGATCCTGCATCAAAATAATACTCTGTGTATCCAGTTGCTGCAACATTGCCACATTAATGACATGAAGGTATTTGAGTTGATATTATACTAAATGGGGTGTTAAAAAAAATTGACAATCCGATCAAGATCCAAGATCCAAGCAACCCAACTTGATCTATACAGTTTGGGTTGGGTTGAAAAATAATTTAAGTTAGATCGAGTTCATTTTTCTCTACAGTTCTAAACCGGTTGGGTTGATTTGATTCTTGGGTCCACCACAAGTTCAACCAACCAAACCCAACCCGTGATGATATAATCATCACTTTTTTAAGTTTATCATTAATTTAAAATTCACTTAAACTTCAATTAAATTAGATTAGGTTTGTTGTTTAGAATGTTTAGGTAGTCGGTTTTTTTTTTAACCTTAAAAGACATATTTGAAAGTTATACCACTCTATCTAACACTTATAAGGTGTGAGTTTGATTGAAACCTGATGGAACCGAACCAACTCAACCCAACTTTTTATGAGTTAGTTGGATTGGGGTTCACAATTTAACAAGGGTTGTTTAGATTATAGAAATATAACCAAAACGATTTGGTTTGGTCCAAAATATTATAAAACTCAACCTAACCTGTGAACACCCCTAAGAAAGTCCTCATCTGCATTATAAATCCTTTGTTTGATAACTATTTGTTGAAAAGAAAAGGTTCAGTTGGAACTGATGTAGATCTGTTTGTCATTTGCCTTATCTGGAAACTGTTTTTCTTTATATATATAGTTTTATCACTTTTACAAAGCAACTTTCAGATCATTGCTAAATTTCAAAAACTAAAAACTATTCCTTCTTTCAGCTTTTAAAATTTTGGACATGATCTTAAAAACGATCATGGAAGTAGAAGAAAAGATAAAAGAGAAATACCCACAAATAGGCATACTTTTAGAAACACAGAATAAAAAACAACGCTATCAAATTGGCCGTTAATGAAATGACTAAGTTTCTTGCTCTTAGGATCAAACATACCAGAAAGAATAGGTCTCCAAGGAAATGACAAGACACAACTGAACTTCCAATGTCCAATGCCCTTGTCCTGTCACTCAGTCCAGTTAACCCTAAACGCTAACCTCAATAAACTAAAAAGAAACAGTCATTTGGAGTAGTGTAGTGATATCACCTCAAAGTCCTCCCATTTGGTAAGCTTCATGTTAGAATTCTCCACAAGAGATCCAAAGTTTGTACAGTTTCTTTGAAATCGGCGAAGCCCTTTGAAAGAACCAGCCGGATCAGCAAACTCACACTCCTCTTCATAAGCATCAAGAGTAAGGTTCCCTGATCATAAATCAAATTTAGGTAAACAAAATGATTCACTTTTTTTCCTTTTTTTTTTTCCTTCGTAACTAGGAGTCGGAGCTTTGCTCCCCTATACCTAGATGCATCTGCACCTGTCCCAAGGCCCGGACCTGGGAGAAGGTTCGAACTTGAAACTTCTAAGCAGTATGACCAAGAGACCCAAGCGCCAATTGGGCTACCCAAGGGATTCCTTGTTTCCTTGCTTCTGTTGTTTTGTTATTAGACTCTTCTTTATGCAATAGTTTCCAAATTTACATGGAAAGACAGTTTCAATGCCATTTGGACTTTAAAGTTTTAAACTTTCGGGTTTGTTCTATTTTAACCCCTAAGCTTTTGAAAAGTCTCTTTTAGTTCTTGAACTCTCACAAAATAGTCATATTAGTCGGTTGTTGTTGAATTTTCATAATGTCTTTTAGTCTCTGAAGTTTTTTTTTTAAAATAACTATTTTTGTTATTGTTGTTATTTTTCGATGATATATCGTAATTTTATTATTTTGATCATTTTTATTATTTGCCTATTATAATACACATGTTTGAAGTCATGTTATTCATCGTAGAATTATTAATAACAAATTATTTGATGATCAAAATGATTATTTTTTAAGTTTGAATACTAATATAGGCACTTTGAAAAGTTCAAAGATCAAAATAGAACAAACATTACGTCCTAGTATAGCTAAGTACACGGGGGCTTAAAAGCACACTAGTTGCCATCTCTTCTCATTTCACTCCTAAAAAGCCAACCAAAACAAATTAATTTGTTAGGAGAGAGTTTACAATCCTATTATCATTTCAAAATACAATAGTTCTATCTTCCACTCTGCAATTGTTTGAACAAAATAAACCTAAAAATTTATATACTAAACCAGACATCTTTAAGTTAAGAAGTAAATGAATTTTTTTAACATTTACTAAGCCTACAATAGTACCAACTCCTTTTGAGTGGAAATTAAACAAGTTTTATATCACTCGAACTCTACTCTACTGATTTTCCATTTCCAAATTTCAACTTCTCCTCCATATGAGCAAACTCTTATTCAAGAACTGGCTAAAAATCAATTTGAATGGAACAAACATTCTTAAATTCAAGAGAAGAAAGAACCTGTGACGAAGTATGATCGCCCAAAGTCCTCCTTGATCGTTTCCACAATCAAACCGCGACGAATCGCACCGGAAACGTCCGTGGCGAGGTCCGGAGCCCTAACGGGAGCTTCGGCATCCGACGGCGACCGGAGAAACGAAGCGGCGATCCCCAGAAGCTCCGAGCCATACCAAGCGACCTTAAGCAGCGCGTTCTCGGGCTCCGATTCCCGATTCTTCGCCGAATCGGTGGCGGGATTGGGATTTTCCCCACGGCACCGGATTCTGCAGATTTTGAGAGGCGAATTCGGCCGCAAGGGGTTTATTCTCGAGGTCTGGAGGGGAGTTATAGTTAACGATTGAAAAGAGCAGATAGCCGCCATTGGATGCGTTGCCCGCAGTATCTTTACGGCATTCAAAATCAAAAGACCCAAACTGAAAATGAATGGCAGCCATGAATTTGGGACTTGGGAGGAAAAATATGGATTCTATAGAAATATCATATTTCCATCGCCATGTATTTGCCTATTCTATAACCTTCACAATATTTGGAAGAAATAAAAAAAAAAAATGGCTAAATCTAGGTGGATCAACATATCCACTTTGCAACTCACAATATTTGTAAAGATTGTGATTGTTGTTCGGTTGAAATTCGTTACAAGGCCGCTCCCAAGACTCATCCGAGGGCTTCAACAACAACACATGTCTTTAGGAGTCGTGAGGTGTTCACCGTTGGTTCTCAATTGAGCGATAGGCAATGTTCAGTCATAATCTAATGTAAATTCTTCCTCTCGTACTAGGTTGAATTACTATCGCAGCAAACATTCTCATAGAGTAAGATCTTGACATTTAAAACATTGAGTATGACAACACTTTTTTTTTTCTTTTGGAGTAATTTGCGTTCCTCAATCCATAATAAATTTATAGGTTACCTAGAAATTTGTTGTTATGATTCGATACAGTTTTAATTTAGTCATTATATCTTATGCTTAGTTTTCATTTGATCCCTATAAAGGTAAGTTTTAATTTCATCCCTAATAAATTTATAGGTTACTTACAAATTTGTTGTTATGACTCGATGCAGTTTTAATTTAGTCACTATGTATTGTGCTTAGTTTTCAATTTGATCCCTATAATTGTAAATTTTAATTCCATCCATTTAATTTAATCATGCATGTTTGACATTACTATGCTTAGTGCTTTTTTGTGTGATAATGAGTTGATGTTTTTTATGAAGCTAATTATGTTAGTTGATTATTTTAAGATTTAAAGTTGAGTAGAAAATAGAAGGAAATGTGTGGATTTTAAAGTGAGTAAAAAGATAGTTTAAGGACGATTCGTAGAGTTTAATCAAACCATAGGACTATAGAGACCAAATTTGTAATTTAACCTAAATACAAGGTTAAGTTACAGATTTTGTACTTATCCTTTCAAGAACAAATTTTGCACTTAAACTTTAGATCTCTGTCTATTTCATCTTTAAAATTTTTATGATAATTTCAATTATGATATTATTTATGCAATAAGTTTACACCATTAATATAGTTATTCTAGTATTGATATTTGATATAACATATTAATTAGACTAATGAGTGATCATTTTACACGACCATATAATAACAACATGAGGGGTAGACCAACTAGATAAAATTAGGACGGGTGGGCCAAAAATATCTATTTAAAATTTAGCCCACTAAATGGAAACAACTATCATGTTAATTTAACCATTAAAATTATATTTTGAATTTAGTCTCTATAATTTAAAAATCAGTTAAATTATAAATTTAGCCTCTAAACTTTTAATGACTATTCACATGACATATTGATTAATCCAATAAGTGATCATGAAATAAATGAGTTTGGACAGAAAATTTGGATTAAAATGTATTTTGTCCACTCCATGAAAAAGAAGATAAATACGAAAAGGGTGTCTACAAATCTAGCATAATTTTTATCTACAAAATAAATAATGATAATAAATAAATGAAAAAAAAAAAAGTGAAACTATCAAACTCATGCAAAATGGCAGTCACATTTACAACAGCAAAAGAAGCAGATTCGTCCTTGGTACTAAAAATGGAGTGTAGCTAAAATATCAAAAGCTAAAAAAGGCTGCCATGGCAATGAGCTCGCTCTAATCTTCTCTCTGCAAAAGGAAGCTCACGTTCAGCAGATCATTTCAATGGCAGCTGGAAGAATATGGAACTTCCTAGGAAGAAACCCCAAGTGTTCCCCATCAGATTGTACATAAATGCTACCGCTGCTTGAAACTTCTTCCACTTCGATCGAATGGACTCTGCTCGAAAAAAATCCAACCGTAAACTGATGATATATAGTTGCAGACAAGAACGTCTCGAAGCAGCATTAGGGAGTTTTTACTAAGAAAATAACATGCACCAATTACATTCCTTTTGAAAATGAACTCGACCCCACCCCACCCTTGTGAACTCGAAGAAAAAAAATACTGTATATAAGGGGGGAGGGGGGAGCTGAAATCATGCTTCAGTAATTTATTCCAACCATGACGAGTACATTGATGTCGATCAAAATTTTTGGGCCAAGTTCATTGAAGCAAACAAAAATTTTAATGGAAAACATGATAATCATAAAAGCTTTTTCCAATATTACGATGGAGGATACATCACATGTCAAATATTACCAACATAATTTTTCTATAGATACCTTGGTTTAGCCTAAAATATAAAGAAATTTTTGGAGGGACGTTCAAATTTTGTTGGGTCACCTCTCTAAGATATTAAAATCTCTAAGAATTCCATAACAACCCGATGGTGTAGGATCACACAGATATCCTATGAGATTAGTTGAGGGGTACATAAGCTGATTAGAAAAAATTACAGTTCAGTTATAGTTTCTTACCCTTTACACAAGTTTTCAGCATAATACAGAAGTTGGACAGAGAAAATTGTATACAACATGCAACAATTTAAACATATCATAGTCTTTAAAGAGTTGACCAACCTTCTTGATGATACGTTTTTAACTGTCAAATGTGTCCCATTGTAGAGTTTATGTAATTTCAGAATAAAGTCGTACCACTTGAAATCCTGAAGAACTACAACCTGCGACGAAAACGGATGGCAAGTATCACACTCATTAACGACCAAAGTGAACGAACTTTATGAAGCCAAATAAACTTCCATGGAAATGGATTCTACCTCTAGATTTCCATTGAAAGGATCCGCGTTGGGCGTGATTTTCATACCGCCGCCAAAGTATTTAGCATTCCCAATGCACAGGGCAGTCACTTGTGGATACACCTCCCATTCACCATCGTTAACCTGTAAATTATAGCATTCTACAGAACTGAAATTAAATCGCGACAAATCGGAAACCACCTTCAAGGCACCACGGTTATTGTATAGAACACATTCAAGAAATACCGAGAGTTTCCTTTATATGCTGACCTTAATCTTAAGGTCTTTATTTTGGTGCCCCATAAAGGCTTGCAAAGCACCAATGACATAGCATAAGTTTCCGAATCTCTTGTATCTCGCAGCATAAAATCCAGCCTTCGCGCTCCTGCAGGAAGATCCATGAAATATAATAATTACAAGTCCTGTATCAGCAGATATTATCGGTTAGCGTCAATGCTAATGTTTAGATTAACCTTACAAATGAATGTCTGCAACATTTACAAAGTAGTGATATTCTCCATTTTCTTCGTGGGTAACTCCAACGTCAATTTGAGACCTCAACCCTGCAAATATCTTAAACAAACTATCAGTGCTAAGGCAATTTTCGAGTGATCAAAATGGCCAGTAGAAGTACTAGGGTACCTTTAGCTATACGGTCCACGGCTTCAAAAGGATTATTTTTCCTAATTAAAAGAGTGTCAACATGATTTGCTTAGGGCATAGAGAAAGTGTTAATTTAAAGTAGGCTCTCACATCATACAAAAACACAATGCAGTAACATGCACTTACCAACCAAATGCTCTTGCAAAATCGGAACCAGTCCCTAAGGGAATAAGCTGCAAAGAGGCACAAGAATATTGAAGTTTCCAAAAGTTCAATAGCATAAGCTTACGATAACAATCTGAACCAGTCACTGACTGCTAAATTAACAGTTCAGGAAGATCATGAGATAGTCAGCTTAAGATTGTAACTACAGAGGAAACTCTTACACCAAGTGCTGTTGGTTTACGAGCTGCTCCATCATTATTAATGACAGGTTTTCCGGCCCAAAAGAAGCCATTAACCACCTGTCAAATCATTAAAAGAAGGCAGATTAATCCTCTCATCCATCAAGACAAACATAGACTACACACAAGAGTTGCTCGAACCAAAGCAAAGCTAAAAGTTTGTTCTTATAGGAAATAAACCTCGATAACTGGTCATCACAAAGTAGTAGGACAATAAGTCCTACTTAACAAGCAACATTAGAAGTTAGACGTTACTACTGCAATCTCAGGCTTGCAAAACTATGAATATGTACAAATAATTTCTTCAAAAAGCTAGGCGATTGGAGTCCTAGAAAAGCAAAAGGAAACACTGGTCATATACAAATCACATCATTCAACTTGGGATACAGGCAGTTTGGTTCAGCTCATTTCCAGCTAGATCAAAACCTAAACTGACAAAGAATAAAAGGAAAAAGAAAAACAAACAGAGCCTTTTAAGCGGTAAAATCGAACCAATGGTAATAATTTTTATGAGGTTAGGCAATTTGTACCTCATGAAAAGTTCCATCTCCTCCAACAGCAATCACAGCTTCAGCACCTTCCCGAATTGCCTGTACGTGGTTGAGTCAATAAAATGGTTGATAGTAACTATTTGAATTCCCGCAAATAAAGAATGGATACTGACCTCCCTCGTTATATCAATTGCATGGCAAGGACCTGAAGTCAAGGATTCACATATCTGTCCACAAAATTATTTTGTCAACATATTGATTTAAGTATGACCCAAATGACCAGTAAATTGGAAACCACCAATCATACAACATCAAAATCATAATAGTTTTATTAACTCACTGAGTTATTGATTTGAAAGTTAACTTTTAACCTACACACATCAGTGCACATGGAAACATTCAGTCGTACTCCACAATCACATGATAAAGAACTATTAAGATTATCTAGGTTCCTCAATAAAATTTGGAAAGATAACAATAAATACATGAAGACAAGGATCGTTTTTTTTTTAATTATTATTATTAGATAGCACACTTTCATTGAAAAGAAATGGAGAATATACAAGGGGCGTACAAAAAACAAGCCTGACATAAGAAGAACCGTTTGTAAGAACAGACCCAAATCCAAAAGAATAACACCTAATTGGTAATTACAAAAAATTTTAGACACCAACACCCAAAGAGAGGTATTAAACCTAACCAGCTCTCAAACTCCCCCAAGACCTCTCAACTCCCCTGAAAATTCTGCTATTCCTCTCAGTCAAAACACTCCACAAAACGGCAATAAAACAAGTCTGCCATAACAAGATCCCTCTGTCCTTAAAAGGCGGGAACGACAACACCTCCAACATCACCCTACAATTCCTATTACCAGCCCACGAAACCCTAAAATCCTCCAAGAACTGACTCTAAATATGCTGGTAAACTAACAACTCCACAAGATATGGTTAAGGCCCTCTGAAGTACTCTTGCAAGGACATGCCACTAGGTATCCAACAACGGAGGACAATGTCTCAATAATTGTAAATAATGGATCATTTTTGAAAAAGAAAAGGTTGATCAGTGGTAAAGGTACAAATAAGATACAAAATTGACAAGGATGATATAAGCCACTTGCAAAATTGATTTGTTTCAATTAGAATCACATGGTTATTCAACCGAATTCGTGGGTTATTTGACAATCTTTGCGTGAGTCGTATAATAATGAAAACACTTGATCAGCACTAAAACTATATTTCTCAGTGTACAGTCCAAGAAAGTACATCTTTTTCAATGATGCCAAGCCTAACTGTTCATGAAGTTTGAAGGGAGAACAAGTTCAAAACAGGCCAACCATTAATATAAACAATAGAAAAAAAAAATGGAGAACAACTCTTAAAAGACAAATTTTCTATTACCATTTCATTTTTAATTTTCTATTTTTAAAAATTATGCTGGCTTCCTCACAATTTTTTGGTGATAATTGGGGATATCATTAACCAATAGAAACACAGTTGAATTATTAACTAAATTTAAAAAACAAAAACAACTTTTCTTTAGTTTTTAAAACTTGCCTTGGATTTTGAAAACATTTTAAAAAGTAGATAACAAAAAAAAAGAAACAAGTAGTGTTTATAAGCATCATTTTCAAAAATAGAAAACTATTTTCATACAACAGCACCCAAATATCCATCAATGTCTTTGAGTCTAGCATTCCTTTTGAAAATCATTTACTACAATAAGCTCCTACCAAGTTCAAGAAGCTAAATTGACTTCAATGGAGATGGTGAAGCTGAAACCCAAGGACACCATTGGACAAATACTCACAGTTCCGAACAGAGACCAAGAGAAAAATCTCACATTATAATGTTCACTAAGGCGAGTGCGTAGATATGGAACCAGCTTGTTCCATTCCTTCACCGTTTTCCCATTAGCACCTGCATAACCGCTATACTGTGACCAAATCCATAACTAGAAAAAATTACCCTACAGCACAATAACTTCAAAAGACTCCATTCCAAATTCGAATAGCCTCAAGAAACACAGTGTTCAATTTCCAAAATCCAAACAACCCCCATCCCAAATTTTCCATTTCTCAACCAATTTTCTCTTCTTAATCGACGAAGCTGAAAAAAATGAAGGGATCAAGAAACAAACCGCGGGGATTAACAACGAAAACCAGATCGCGCCGCCCAGAAGATGAAGAGAAGGAAGACGACCCACGATGAAAAACCGATCGATCGGCGTAGAGATCGGGCGCGATGGGCTGTTCTGCCCTAGTAACGAAGGGTTTCGTCGCCATGGAAGCTCCCAATGCTATGTGATAGCAAAAGCAGACGACCATCTTCTTAATCGCGGAATTCTTCGCGCCCGATTGATTAGGAAACTATATAATCTGGATTTGAGAGAATTATAATGGTTAACCGATGAAGGAAGTGACATTAATGCGATGAATCTGATAATTAGTAAGCTTCACACTGACACTAGCACGCACAGTTGCTTAAGAACAGGATTCTCGTGGGCTTCTTCTAGATTTTTGGAAATGACCCTTTTGAATTTTTGCAGCAATTCATGTGAATTTGATCTTCTTCAATCGGAATTTCATTGTTGGGGGCCGTTTGATTCAAAAAATTTTGGAGATAATTTTCTGTTAATTTGGATAACGTTTGGTATTGAGTTGGTCAGATGTATTGGATAGTATTTGTAAAGCATTATTTTAAACCGAAAAAAAAAATTAAATACAAAACTTCCGAGATAAATGCTATTTTAATCTCTTAATTTCTCTTCTTATTTCATTTATTTTCACCAAAATTTTGACATGACTTTTAATTCATTAAATTTTTTAAAATGTAGCCACAATTTATATATATTATAGAGTTTTAATTCTGTTTTTAATTTATGTTAATTTTTTTTTTTTTTTGGTAAATAGAGATCAAGACAATACAGTTGGCTAATCCAGATATTTTAAAATTATAAAAATTAAAATGAATAAAAATTAAAAATATAGACAATAAAACAGATATTTTACTAATATAAAGATGAAAATAAATCAAAATTTAATGAAACTAAAATATTTAAAAAGAAAAGAAGAAGTTAATGGTTGGGATTATCGCCCCTTAATTGCTATATTGAAAAAATGAAGGATTATTTACCATATCAATTATTGTTACGACTCCAAAGGTGTATCAAAGGGAAATTGTCAAAATTGACCCCAAAGTTTTTGCTCTTTTCAACTTTTGAGTTTTTTTTTTCTTTTTTTTTTGGTGGTGAAGGTGGGGTTATGAAAATACCCTTACATTTCTAACTATATAATTCTTTGTCTAAAAAGTTCAAATTTTGTATTTTTTTAGTACAACATGTGGGGTTGGAGATCGAACTCACCTGATATATGTCAATTACTGTTTATGCTCGTTTTGACAGAAATCCAAATTTTGTATTAAATCGACATAGCATGAAAGATTGAATGAATCTTTTCGTTAGATCTCTTCAAAATTCAAGACAAGATTCATGCGAAACAAGAAAAGATTGAGATAAAATCTCGAGCTTTCTACATAAATCTCACTTGAGTTTTTCAAGTTATTTGAAAGTGAATAAACGAGATTTAGGACTTTCAAGCAATCTCGATTGAAATTGCATGAAAGTCGAGGAAATTTTATGATTGAAATTGTTAGAAATCGAGCCCAATGTCAGATACCCCTTATACTTTTAAGAAAAAAAGATTAATAAAGGGGTAAGGAAAGATTAGAAATAGACAAAACAACTCAGCAAGAAAATTGAATAATATATATAGTGCGTGTATATAATACAATGATAATAGATAAAAGAATCAATATATACGTTGTATCTAAACCAATATACATAAAAGAATGGGGTAAATAGAAAAGTAGAACGTTTTAGGTATTAAAGAGTTGGAAGGATCAATTAATTACATTGTAAATCGTAAAATCTAATAAATAAAAACATATAAAATAATATAAAATAACAGCAAAATAAGATATGTTACAAAAAAGTGTAAATATGATCTAAACAAAATCAGCGCATCAACGAACAAACAAAATTTAGAATTGCATGGTAGGTACAAAATTGAAAATTCACCTAAAAAAGTTAGAAAGACAAATATTATATTAAGAAAAATCTACAATCACATCTAAGGTCTAAAATTAGAAAAAGAAAAACTTAAATTAAAGAAAATCTCAAACCAAATCTAAAATTGAAAAATATGAAAGAAAAAATCTAGAATATGTAAAAATAAAAAAAATAAAAAAAGAAAGTAAATCTAGGAAGTATTCGAGATAATAATTTTGAAATACTTCAGAAGAGAGAGAAAAATTCAGTTGGATGATTTTTAAAATCGAAAATATAGGATAGAAAAAAATGTGATGCGGTGATTTTAAAAGAAAAATATATTGAGCGCGGTCCAAAAATAAAACTGAGGGTAAAGATGGAAAATCACTAAAGTGTAACAATTAAGTTGGCCACTTTTGCAAATTATAATATTTTTGGCTATTTATCAATATGACAGTGTAAATTTAGCCCCCAAGTCAAATTCTCCCAATATGATTGACCCAGAAGTCTGTGTTTGATGGGTCGACTTGGCTTAGACCCATCTTTCACCGGTCCGGTCTTTTAAGTCGACTTATAATAAGTTTGTTGGACTAGAACTTTAGACTTAAATGAGCGAATACATCATGATGATCTATATATAAATTTAAAATTTAAGAATGTTTTTTGGTGGCATTGAGTATTTTTTTTTGTACTAAAGATTATATTTAATCGATAATACTAATACAATAAGTTTGAATAGAATTATTAAAAATAGTTATCTAATAGGTCAATTTGTCAAGGTAAGGAGATATTTTTATTTGTAGTTTGGTGGCTAAAAATTTAGTCCGCATCTTCACGTGGGTTATCTCTCAGCTTGAGAGTGGCGGCGGCAGACTTTTGTTTGTGGTTTTTTGGCCTGCGGTGGTTTCGTCATTAGGTACAATGAAAGAGATTGTTGATTTGTAGAAGGGTTTTGTTTTGAAGGGGTGGAGAATGAGGCGGTTCAGGTAACTGTTGATAGTCCGTTGTTATCGGAGGATCGGGTGGAATTATGTGCTATCGGCAAAGTGTTATACTGAGTAGGCGAATCAGTCATGAGACATTTCGTTTGGTGATGAAGTTGGTGTGATGAGTGCATCAGGGGACCCAGATTGATCCGGCTGGGGACAACCTCTTTATCATTTATTCTCAGTCTCGGGCAAACAAACTTCGAGTTCTAAATTCTGGTCCATGGTCTTTTGACAAGGGTTTTGTTGTGCTGGTTTCACCACGTGCTTTGGATCTCCCATCAGAGCTGCTCTTTACATCAATTCCTTTTGGATACAAATGTGTCTTTTCAGTATATGACCGGGGAAATGGTTGTTCAGTTGGGTAGTGTTGTGGGTTTTGTTGAATGAGTTGACTATGGGGTACCTCAAATGGGTTGGTGCCTTTTTACGGATTCGGGTTCAAATTGATATTACTAAGCCCCTCCGTCGTGGAGTTAAACTTACCGTGGGAAAGGGGAAGAAGGTATGTCATCCAATTCAATACGAGCGGTTCACTGATCTTTGTTATTATTGTGGAATCCTTGGCCACTCTCTTCGAGAGTGGTTCTCTAGCGTTGTCCGCGTCCGATCAACCACTTCCATATGGTGATTGGATGCAGGCTTCGGTTATGAAAAAGGGTTTTGTGATGAGGAATGAGACCAACACAGGGTGACATGCGTGCAGTTTTCCTATTGGGGGAACTGGTGACAGTGGGATTTCGGGTGGCCGTGGTGGAAATTTAGTGGACGATTGGAGATCATTGTCGATGTCCATGGAGGTTAGGGTGGCACTAGTGACGTCGGTTGTAGACACTCCGATAGCAACGTCGACGGGTGAGACGGGGGTTTGTCTCGAGATCATGGAGGTTGGTGCGTCTCTGGGGTCGATTATCTCTCCTGTTAGGTCCAACGGTCTTGTTCTTCACGTAGTGGGTGGTGAAGATTCAGTTGTAAATGCAGATTTGGTTCCAGTAGATCAGGCTCTCCCTAGGGTAGTTGTTGGGTCTTTTACTATGTGTGTGGACAATGGACATATGTCCAACCCAACCCCCTACAGTGAGTATGTCTGTACAGCCTGCATCTCAGCAGAAATTGAAATCTAAGTGGAAGCAGGCGACACGAGGTAAAGCTGAAGCCCTTATGAAAAGTAAAAGTCAGGGTAAGCGTCCAATTAGCTATGAGATTTTGTTATGGCGTTGACTGCACCTAAGAAAGCCCGGTCTGGTGACTCGGTGCCTAGTGGGTTTATTTTGTCTAAGTCTGCTGATGAAGTTTTGTGCCATGACTCGTGTTTGGCAGAGGCTGGTCCTCAGCCCTACCACTCTTTATGATTGGCTTATTCTGGAATGTTTGGGGGGTAGGGTCCCCTCGAGCTTTCCGTAAATTGTATAAGGTGGTACAATTAAATAAACATCAATTTGTGTTTCTGTCTGAAACGAAGTCTCAGAAAGAGCCATTGGAATTTGTAAAAAGGCAACTTGGTTTCTATGGTTGTTTTATAGCTGATTGTAAGGGTAAGAGCGGTGGGTTAGTCTTGCTTTGTGTACGTGATTTCGACTTATCTCCTTCTCTTCTTCATATATTGATGGGTGGGTCTCCCATGTGAATACAAAATGGTGTCTCACAGGTTTTTATGGTAATCCAGCTAGGCACTTACATTCATCTACTTGGACACTACTGAAGCATTTATGGGGTAGTGACTCCGTCCCTTGGTTGCTTGGGGTGATTTTGATGAGATTCTTAGTCCAAATGAGAAACGTAGGGGGTGGCTGAGGTCGCGAATAGTGCGATCCAAGCTTTTCGTTCTGTAGTTGACAAGTGTGGTTTGATGGATCTGGGTTTATGGGGTGATCATTTTACATGGATAAATCGGCGTGAGGAGGGGGGATACCATTCTTGAACGGCTTGATCAATGTTTTTGCAATCCTGCCTGGCGTACCCTCTTTCCCAGTAATTTGATTTGTCATCTAGATTATTATCTGTCTGATCACAAGATGGTGGCTATTCACTTTGGCAAGGATCCATCTCCTCTCTTTCATACCTGGGGAACTATTCCCTGTTTTGAGGAACTGTGGCTGAGGTTCTCTGACAGTAAAGACGTGGTGACATCTTCTTGAGCCTGGATCTTTGGTGGTGAGCCATGCTGGTATTTCCCAGAAAGCGAGAACTTGCATGGCAGCTCTTAATTGGTGGGATAAGTCGAAAACAGGGGGTTATGGTCGATGCATTAGTGCAGCTTCTTCTCAGGTTCAATCAGCGATCCATAATCTTTCGTTTAGGGGTTTGTGGGAGGTTGTTTTATCTGCTGAAACCTCCCCAGGAAATTTGCTCATAGAAGAGGAAATTTAGTAGAAACAACGGTCTAGGGAGTGCTCGCTAAAATGGGGGAACAAAACCATGAAATGATTCCATAATAGGGCCTCATTCTGCAAGCAAGTGAATTACATTGATGGTTTGGAGGACACGACCAGTGAGTGGTTATAGGGTCGTAAGGGCCGACAGGGTATTGTCTCCAATTATCTCTTTGATATCTTTTCGTCATCTTTGCCCCTGACCCAAATTAATCAGTGTGTTATGGTAGACGTTGATAGCAAGGT